GAGGCCAGGGGGAGGTCAATGGCAGGAAAAAGGAGACATATGTACTACTATTTGTAATACTTTAAACAATAAAAAAGAAAAAAATGTATAAATGTCAAGATAAAAAACATTCAAACCTGTGAAGAACTTTTGTGAGTTTATTTGAGCCAAACTGTCGACAATTGCCAGGAAGCAAAATTTTAATGGATTGACATAATGCTCTGGAGAATGGCAGTTTTGTGTCTTATTTTATGCATTACAATCAAAAGAGGAGGCATATGTGGGGTACACAAAATCCATTGGTGACAGGTTAGGGAGGCAGGAGAAAGCAAAGTGGGGGAAACCTCTGGGATTGGATATAAAGTAAGTGATAAATACATACTTTTTTTGCATAGGTGGGTATAGGATAATTAACAGTCAACAATTAACTCAGTAATTAGAAGGGGATTTTTGGTCTATACAGAATGCTGTGCTTTGAGGGGTCCAAAAAGAAGAAAATTACTTGGACGTTCCAAAAATATGTTATCTTAGATGCAAAAAGACAACAGACAGACTCAGTTTGGATAAAGACCGACCTTTGTCAGAGAAGATGTGGGCCCTGGACATGACTACCCACCAAAACTGCTTTTAGTTAAAAGGTTTTAATTTCAGCCCTAGCCGGTTTGGCTCAGTGGATAGAGCGTCAGCCTGTGGACCAAGGGGTCCCAGGTTTGATTCCGGTCAAGGATATGTACCTTGGTTGCAGGCTACTCCCTGGCCCAAGCCCTGGTCGGGGCTTGTGCAGGAGGCGACCAATGATGAATTTCTCTCACATTGATGTTTCTCTCTGTCTTTCCCTCTCTCTTCCATTCTTTCTAAAAATCAATGGAAAAATATCCTCGGGTGAGGATAAACACACACACACACACACACAAAGTTTTAATTTCAGACGATTCTTTGTGGTTACTTTAGGTCTCTGAGTTTGCAAGGCCACTGTGCAGGCCTTTCCTGAGGCAGTCAGGTTAGCATGTGGCACCTTTTCCTCCACACAACCCCCTTTTGGTCATAAATCAATCCAAAGGCTGCATTAATGACCAAACTTTTGATTGGATAACAGGGTCCCATTCTGCTAGGAAGCTTATTCCTAGGTTTCAGCATTAGTGTTTGTCTTGCTGAATAATGGACCATTGAGGATGGGGAAAGGCCACAACCTTAGATGGCATTCAAGGTCAAATTATTATCTATACTAATAAAAGGGTAGGTCCTCCCCCTAAAGAGACTGGGAAGATGGCGGCGATATAGGCAGA